AGGCACCACGTATGCAGTCTGGGTGGCCCAGACAAAAATGATATTGAAGAAATTATAGTCTGTAAGCAAACCTCAGTCTCTTTTTCACTTGTGAGGCCATCTTGAGGTTACATGTTCTGAAGAAGGAAACTGGCAAAAAAAGTGTTTTTGCTACTTGTTCCAGCGAAAGCCTGAGTGCCACTAATCCAAGAACAATTAAGCTGGGAATGGAAACAGACTCATGAGAGAGTACTGAGTTGCAGTTTGGTAAAGGTTGTCTAATCATGGAAACTTTACAGGTCAATATTTTTAAAAAATACTTATGGATTTAGATACTGAACTTGTAACACTCCACTAGAACCTCACTTCCAGTACTTGGTTGCCCTGTGCTTTGAGAAAACCAAGGGTTTTTTTAGGTTATATAAGACTGAGTGCCTCAAACACTTTGTCCAAGTTTTTAAGTGGTTCAGGATTTCAGGCCTCTCAGTTTTTATCAGTTTCTTGGTAACCACACAGTAAAGAGCTGAAATGATTTATGGTATATGTAATACTTGTATCTGTGGTTAGAGACAGTTTAGAGCATCCAGCAAAAAACAAGTTAGGTATCTCCTTTCAATCTCTTTTATTTTGCCTTAGTGATCAGAAAACTTTGGAAAAAAATGCACAAAAATAGTCTATATAGATATGTTGTCTTAAAACACCTTTCCTTCAAAAATACGAATATACAGTGGCTTTTCAGTCAGTCAATATGCTTTTACTGTTTACTACGATTCTCTATGTTTTTCATAGCATCCTCTCTTTCCTCTTTTATCTTGTGGCAACAAAGACCAAAAATAGCTCTGCTGGAGAAACAATAAAACATTTATTTGCAGAAAGAAAAAAAACCAACAATCCTAATCTGATTAAATTAAACCATCTTGTGGGACCTACATTTTAAAAATTACAGAAACATTTCAGGTTTGACATTTAATATCTATGAGTTTGGAAGAAGGATGGTTCAGCTATTCCAATTACTCACCGTACCCCTTTGAAAGTTGAGGTTGTCTCCAAGGGTGTCAAAGTCCAACACTGAGGACAGGTGATGTGTCTATTGAAAGCAGTTGCATAAATACTGCATGGTGTGGTACTGCTTGCTCTTCTTTTACTCTGTTTTCTTTGTGTTTCTTCTGGGAGCTAAGTTTGGATTTTATTTACAGTTGCTTCCTCTCTTTTGAGTTATCCATCACTGCCATTTGTTGGCCAGGAAGCTTTCCGCATCTTTCTTTATCTTCTTTTTCCCTTCCCTCCCATATGCTGTGCCTTCCAAAATCCTGACATTCAGGCTGCCTGGCCCTGAAGCCATTTCTATTTTTATTCTAATTTCTCTTCTACCAGCCCAGATGTCACTCTTAGTTTAAGTCTTGAGTTTCTTCCTTCAGGAAACACTCTATTTCTAGCACTTCGCTCTCACTTTCCCTGAATACTAAGAAAAAAAATCTAGTTCACAGCTCTATATGATCTGAAGTCCTTTATCATGGACCAGCCATCTTCCTTCATTGATCTCATTCTTTATATATGTGTTACATTTCTGTTTTCAATTTCAATTTTATGTGGTTTTTTCCTTATTTTTTAGGTTTTCTTGTGAACAAAATATTTATTGTTATTTCTTATTTTGTATTTTATTGTTTGGTGGTTATTCATACTGGGTTTCTGTTTATTTGGCAATACCTATTTAATAGGTTTTCCATAGGTGACTTATGAAATGTCCTATTTTCTTTACTGTACTCGTTTACTTTAAATTAAGCATATACATATTTCCATAAAGTTATTACCATTTTTATGGGTCTATCACACTAGAAAATGTAGTCTGATTTTCTGTCTTCTGTTTGCAGTAGCTTTCATATTAGCTTTATTCCATTTCTCATCCTCCATAGAATAATTGTATTTAGGTTATTTTGCTACGTGGGATTTAATGATCAATTTGATGTCTTTTTTTTTTTTTTTGCCCCGCACTGTTAGTTTGTTTACATGCTAGAGTGCAAAGGAACAGGATAGGTTTTTTACTTAATATGTTTCATGTCATGCAAAGCACAAAGTAAACTCTTTGCAACATTATCAGAAATTTTATCTGAAAAGAAAACCTGTAGACTTATCTATTGGAAGGCCTAGAGCAAAATAACAAGAGGAAAAAATAAAGGTCATATGGCCAGAATATTTTTGGAGTGATGCTGTGGTAGAACTCATGGCTTAGCCTGAATTGACCCATGCTTGGCTGTGTCTCCAATGTTATGTCTTTGCCATTTTATAAGGGCTGAATACTGATTGATTGTTGAATTAAGTGGTGAATACTGATTGTTGAATTAAGTGGTAAAACTTCAGAGAAATCAAGGTTCACCAACACCACAGAATATGTAGCAGGAGTTTTCATGTTGACCTAGTTCTCATTCTCATAAGGTCTGGCCACCACAGCCACTTCATTGCATTTCCTTCATTAGTGTACTCTTTTGAGAAGGATCCAGTCTCCTTTATTGTCTCTGTATCTTGATATGAATTTATTTAATAGTTCCAGATCCCTGTTCATTGACTTACATGATCTGTCCTCATTTCAGGCTCTGTGAACGCACTGCCACTCTTGCCATTTTTAATGAAACTACAGTAGCTTCAGCTGCGTTAGGATATTTCTACTAGCTGACTGTTTATAAAACCATAGAGAATGGATTGCATTAAAAATATTTGAGCAGGTTTTCACTGCAAAAGTGACCAAAATTGCTTGCTGGGAATGAGAACAAGCACAGCCATCCCTAAAGCCATGTAAAATAGTCATGGTTGCCTTTTGCTTTAGATTAACCTCAAAAGGCTGACACGTTTTCTATGTTTGATATGGTTGGTTTAAACTGAGTTCTGAATCATCTTTAACACATCTCCAATAACATATTTTTTCCAATTTAAACCTGGCTTGGATGTACAGTTTACTTTGATTGGAAAAATTTCCAATAATTTCCTCTACCATCCTGCCAATTTCTTCCTATGCAAAACATGTAATATATATGCAGTGTGGGATGGTTTGAGTTTACTAAATAGTCTGTCTACATTTTTTTGCTGCATGTAAGAAATACATTCTGCTTTGAATTAACAGGTCTCTATTCTTCATACCTGTTTTCCTACTCTTCTTTTTTATGAATTTAACAGTACCTTTTTGGAGACCTTAAAATAAACCAGACTGTAGTTGCCCTTGATATATGAAGGCACAACTCATAATGAAGTCTATAGGAGTTATGTCAGCTTACCCAAAGACTGAATTTAACCTCTCTGTTTTATTGGGAAACTGGCACACTGTGCTTTGTTTTATATTTGCAAAAGCCAAGGCCTTGTTTTGGAGAGATAAACCTTTATGGCAAGCTGTTACCAAGCATATGCTGGTT